GATGCCTATCATCCTTTTCTGGAGACATATTTTGACAGTTGTGTTCTCTCGGAGTTGAGGGAGTACAACCACTTGGATATCTGCACTTTTTCCAATGAGGAGTATGTATCTAGGATGATAAAGGTGAGTAGTTTTAGATCTACTTTGCAAAGGTTGATTCACCACTTGATTGCCTCCACCATTCATCATCGTGAGAAGCACTATAAGGTTCCCATAGGCGATCTTTTTCCTATATGGTGCCTTCTTCGCACCGATGTCCACCTCCACATTCCCTACACCATTGCCTCCTTCCTTTCCTCCATCCTAGCTTCGGGTGGTCAACCACAAAGCAAGATTTTTGGTGGTCACTTTATTAGTGGCTTGGCTCAGTCATATGGGGTTGATACGTTTGGGATGATGCAGTATCCCATCCGGGACTTGGACGAGACGACCCTGAGGAGGATACAAGTGATTACGTGTGGAGTGAATGGGATTTGGAGGTCCCTCCTAATGATGTTGTCGTGCATATTCTCCAGGTAGATCCAGAGCATGGGGAGGGGAATGAGTTTATACCAGGTCATCAATAATACTGGGTTCGACATGATCCACCGACTACTCAAAAGGGTCTGATGCCCCGAGATGGATATATCCTTTCTTTTTAGGCGCATGGATGAGTTGGGTAGGGAGGTTCACGAGATTCATCATTGTCAGCAGTGGATGTCAGCGGCTATGAGTGATTGGTTTACTCATCACGGGTTTGTTTATCCTCCTTATCAGGGACCGGGTGATGGGGTTGGTACATCGGGGACGAATCATGTTGACGATGATGATGAGGAGAGTGATAATGATGGTGATGGCGATGGGGATGACGAGTAGCATGATGTAGAGATCCTTAGTTGCTTTTCTTAGTTGTTTCTTTTTGGACACGATGTTTTTAGGTAGTAATTTTTTTTATTCTATGTATGGTTGTCTTGTTTATGCTCATTGAATTTCACAAGTGTTTAGTCTATCAACCACCATATTTAGGTTTAGTAGTGTATTAGCTCCATCCAAAATAAAGCATAGTTCATCAGTTTTATGTATAGTCTTGGCTTGCATGACCATTTTAGCATATAGTCGTTCTAAAATCCAGCAACCCAAGCGATAGTTCAAACTAGTCACTTCTCCCGTAGTAGTCTATCGGTAGTGTAATTAATAGTAATAATTTTAGTTGTAGATCTGAGGACAGATCTTTATAGAATATATGTCCCTAGGTTATAGTTGTATTTACTAAAGAATTACTAATTCGCTATAACCTTTAGCTTTGATACCAATCTGTCACACCCCGGCTTAGCGGCAGAAAAGTCGGCGGCGCGACGTTAGGGATGTTGGATCATATATAAGGATTTCACCTGTCATTCATGACATGAATATCACTTCCATTCAACATTTGATAACTTATAAGAAAACTTTATTTTTATTACATTAAGTTTTGTCTTTGCAACCATACTCTTTCGGTAGACTGTGATTCGTTCATAACCTTTTGCTGAAAGATCTTCTGTCTCCATTGGTGACCTACGAATACATGTGTGTTTTGAAAGGTCAACATATTGTTGGTGACTCCAGAGGTTTTGTATACTTGAAAATACTTTGCCAACTTGTTAAGTCAGCTCTTGTTGTGATCTTAGCTTATGCCAATATGTGTTAAGCTATTTCCTAATATTCTGGTAGTGGGATTCAAATAGTTTAGTAACTAGATCTGATCCTAGCTTTCTGAACAGAAAGATGTATCATATTACTTTATTTAATTTTGTTAATATCTCTAAAATCCATTGTTGGTACTAGGTTAATATTGTCCTAATATTCCTTTATCGTGTTGCGTGTACTACTTCTCTCTTCGAGGCGTTCCTTAAAGAGTTGTGAATTAAGATTAATAAGGATACTCTAAACTCGTTTCCTCGAGTTTGAGTATACTATCACTATTTGTGTAATTAATAGTCTCTGATAGTTAGTTTTAGTTGAACAAAGTTACCACGGGTTCCTATAATCGAGCTATGACTGTTCATTCCCAAAAAATCACGACGCTTCATCGGATGTCGCAAATGTGTTTAGAAAGTTATGCCCGCTTCGACTTGCCATCAGGTTGTAGCTAGCAACCACATGTGGGAGTGTCAATCCTAATATATAGTATATAGATATATATATATATAGATATATATATATAGATATATATATATATATCTATATATATATATATATATAGGGAAGGGTTATTTGGAAAACAAAAAAACCCTAAAAAATTCATAAAAAGGCATAAAAAATACTTAGAGATCACAAAACTTTTTTTGAAAAAATCGCAACTTTTTATACAAAATCGGTGAAAAAAATTTTGAAATTTTTTTTTTTTTTACAAAAAAAAAATGGATTTTTTATTTTTTTTTCAGCGACTTTAACAAAAACCTGCGATTTTTTATAAAAAAAATTAAATTTTTTTTTGTGATCTCTAAGTATTTTTTTTTATGCATTTTTATGATTTTAGGGTTTTTTTTGTTTTCCATAGAACCTAAACCTATATAGATATATTATATATATATAGATATATAGATATATATCTATATAATATATATATATATATATATATATTCAAGGTTGTAAAAACGCTCGACGTGTTAGCTAGTCGGTGGACTGGGGTTAAGCGATTAGTAGGCTAGGCGGAGATTAATCGGGGACCATTAATTGCTAATTTGCTGAATTTTAAAAAATTAAATATGACTAATATCATATCAAAGTTCATAAATACCACTAATATCATAACAAAATAGGTTAATATGATTAATACAACAATAATCATGCCTCAAATAGACTCCATTGAGATAAAACTTCTTCAAAATGTTAAAATTTTATCGTTTTATACTGTTTCACTCATTATGTATGTAGGGATTAATCGCTAGGCGCCCTCTAATCGGTCGAATAGCGCCTAGGGATTAATCGGAGATTAATCGGGACCTAGTCGGGATTTTTACAATAGTGATATATATATATATATATATATATATATATATATATATATATATATATTCTACCCTAATAAATAAGAATGATTTTGCCACATGTCCTCTTCTCTCCTTCATTTTAACACATGTCATTTTCTAGATTTTTTTGAATTATTTAATATCCACTTGTCATTTTTATAGTTTTTTTTTCTTTTTTATTCAAATCTCACCTATTAAATGTCTCCTCATATTAATTAATTTTATAAATATATTAATTATTGTACATAATAACTTTCTATTTTTGAATTCCTCTTTCTATTAATATATTAATTAATGTATATGTATATCAATGTAGACAGTACATTCCATTTGTGAATTCATATTAATTAATTTTATTAGTATAGATTAATTAAGACCAAATTACATAAATAGTCCATGCGGTTTACCAAAAGGTCACAAACTCAGTCGTTACTTAATTTTTTATAAACATGGTCTTTTTGGTTACCAAAACTTGCGTGAATGATCTTTTTTTTGCCCATGCCGTTACTTTTGGTTCTTTTAATAAACTCGTGTAATACACGGGTCTCACATCTAGTGTGTGTGTGTGTGTGTATATATATATATATATATATATATATACATACATATCTCTCTCGCTCACTTAAGATTTAACGATTATAGGTCGAGGGCTAGCTGAAATTCTTTCAGCTGTGATGAAACGTGTCTCATCTAACTCTTGTTGTGGGGGCCTCCCTTGGTCGGTCGTTTTGTTATTCCTTGTTGCAATTATACGAGTTATATATATATATATATATATATATCTAGATATATATATATATATATATATATATATATCTATATATATCTCGCTCACTTAATTAACGATTATAGGTCGAGGGCTAGCTGAAATTCTTTCAGCTTGTTGATGAAACGTGTCTCATCTAACTCTTGTTGTGGGGGCCTCCCTTGGTCGGTCGTTTTGTTTTCCTTGTGTGCAATATACGAGTTATATATATATATATATATATATATATATATATATATATATATATAGATTAATATATATATATATATAATCTCGCTCACTTAAGATTTAACGATTATAGGTCGAGGGCTAGCTGAAATTCTTTCAGCTTGTTGATGAAACGTGTCTCATCTAACTCTTGTTGTGGGGGCCTCCCTTGGTCGGTCGTTTTGTTATTCCTTGTTGCAATTATACGAGTTATATATATATATATATATATATATATATATAATATATATATATACATACATATCTCTCTCGCTCACTTAAGATTTAATGATTATAGGTCGAGGGCTAGCTGAAATTCTTTCAGCTTGTTGATGAAACGTGTCTCATCTAACTCTTGTTGTGGGGGCCTCCCTTGGTCGGTCGTTTTGTTATTCCTTGTTGCAATTATACGAGTTATATATATATATATATATATATATATATATATATTATAAGTGTGTTTTGCGTAGTCAAGTATTTAGGCAGAGTAACCACTATATACTAAGCTTATCCAAATGGTGGCTAGCGTAACAACTAGATATGATATTTCCTATCAGTGTGAATCAGTATAACAATTAGGTATAATATTAACCTTAAAAGTTAGACAAAATATCTACCGAACATAATATCATTCTAATGTTATGAGTATAATTATCTGAATAATCTTATATAATTAGTAATAACTATGTAATAGTTGCATTTTAACATGGTGTAAAATAAAACCGAAGGTGTTTTTTTTCAAAATAATTATAAATAATATACTTTGCTATTTTAATTATAATAATCTTTTGTATTCTAAAAGTAAATTAATTCAAAAGTAATAAATAATCATTATGTAATCATTATTAAAAAGTAATTAGAGATTATCATGTAATGTAACGAGTGAGTTGTGTAATAAGAGTGTTTATTTAATTTTTAGCCAACCCGTCAAAATAACAATATAATACTTCTTGAATCATTTCGCAAATAACATCTGTTACATTGATAACTATTTTATCGAATAAGCCAATTTTTAAAAAATAGTCAATGAGAGTACACGTATTTGTTTTTATATTTTTATTTAACTTAGCCAAAATGATTAAGGTGCAAAGTCAATCCTAGAGACTCTGGGCCGAGGGCGACACCATCCAGAACGTGAAGTAAAGATGATTTCAGTAGACGAAGCTCTGGGGATAGTGTTGGATGTATCGAAGCGGTTGCCTCCGGTAACGGTGCCCATTCACGATGCTCTTGGCAAGGTCTTGGCACAGGACATTCGAGCTCCCGATCCTCTTCCTCCATATCCTGCTTCGATCAAGGTCTTTTACAACTCTTTCTAGCACACTGAAGCAAATAGATATATGTTAATCAATCGAAACGATCCCCAATTGAAAACCTATAGTTCCCGAGAAACAAATGTGGAATTTGAGATCCTTTATATGTGTAAACATCGTTACTTTATTTGTAAATTGAAGATTTGACTAGGAGTTTTTTGGGTTTCTGTGTTTCCCCAAATATTTATAGTATAATTGTGTGGTTTATGTTTAGTTAAGCTAAACTGCGAGATTCATGGCTATTTCTTACATGCTTCGTGTTGCTAATTATCCATTCAATCTACTCATAGAAACTGTTTGGTGTCACTGTGTCAGATATGAAGTAAAAATACACTTAATTCAACACTTAAAAGCTGGATTTTTCATCTCAGGATGGATATGCTGTAATTGCTGCAGATGGTCCTGGTGAGTATCCCATCATTACAGAATCAAGAGCAGGGAATGATGGTCTTGGTGTGATAGTGACTCCTGGAACTGTTGCGTATGTTACAACTGGAGGTGAATCTTTATATCTTTACGTATGTCCCTGAAATTTTGTCATCTTTATGCATATTCTTGTTTCCAGGAACAATTGCAAGAGTTCTTATTTTAATGAGTGTGTGCTAAAAAATGTATTATTCTGCTCTGTATCAGGACCAATACCTGATGGAGCTGATGCAGTTGTGCAAGTAGAAGATACTGAACGAGTAGAAACTGCTTCATCCGAACCAAATCGAGTACGCATTTTGGTCAAAATTAACAAAGGAGTTGATATTCGTCCTGTGGTAATAACTTTTAACATGTTGCAATGCTATATTCTCATGGCAAAATATTAAAAAAAGAAAAAAGGAAATGCTCATGAGAACAATTTTAAACAGGGATGTGACATAAGTAAAGATGCCATAGTACTGAAAGCTGAAGAACTACTGGGTGCTGCAGAAATTGGGCTACTTGCTACTGTGGGTGTTTTGACAGTGAAGGTATTAGTTTTGTTTGTGCAGGCTATTTACTATACTACCCTTGTGGTACAGTTTTTAAATGGCTTAAGGTTGTTTCTCTTTTCCCCTCAAGTCTTGTATGGATAAAGTAAGTTTGTAAGTGACTAAATGACTAAATAACTAAATGAAGTATGTCCGGATATATAGAGACTGTTTCTTTTCTTGAGACTAAATGACCATTTTACCCTTGCATTCTAAAAAAACAAATTTTACAATACTCATCAATCTTAACTCATCAAGCCCATTAAGTAAAAAAGAAACAGCCCCTAATTACCATTGTTATGATGCAGGTATATCCTACTCCAACTATTGGTGTACTTTCTACAGGAGATGAGTTGGTGGAGCCCACAAATGAGACTTTAAGTCGTGGCAAGGTACTACACACTTTTCTAAATTATGTGTCAGTTTTCTGCAATTATTATAGTAGTATATTGATAGTAAGGTTTCCTTATTTAGATTAGGGATTCCAATCGAGCAATGATTTTGGCTGCTGCAATACAACAGAAGTGTAAAGTTGTTGACCTTGGTATTGCTGGTGATGATGAGGATGAAATTAGGGCAGTTTTGGATAAAGCACTTTCAACTGATAATCACATTGACATTCTTTTGACTTCTGGTGGTGTTTCTATGGGAGATAGAGATTTTGTCAAACCTTTACTTCAACAAAAAGGAAGAGTGTATTTCGACAAGGTAAATAACACGTTTTTTTTGTTATTGTTACCTTTTTCCCTTGATATATTTTGTGATTTAATAATATCTTTTTTTTGTAGATCAATATGAAGCCTGGAAAGCCTCTTACTTTTGCAGAACTCACAACAGAGAAGATGAAAAAAGTTGTTGCATTTGGGTTACCTGGAAATCCAGTCAGCTGTTTGGTTTGTTTCAACCTCTTTGTCATTCCATCAATTCGTAATCTTTCTGGATGGACAAATCCACGTCTTCCAAGGTCTTCTTTCTTGTCCACTTTATCACTTTTGATAGCATATATATGAATATGATCATTAAAACTAATTGATTTTTATTTGTTTCACCTCTTCCAGGGTACAAGTTTACCTTAAGAACTCTATCAAGACAGATAATTTCAGAAAGGAGTTTTGTCGTGCCATTATCAAATGGGAGAATAATGCTGGATTGGGCTTTCCAGGGTATTATTGTCTTTCACCCGTAACAAACAACCTACTTATATATATCTATATATAATATATATATATATCTATATATCTATATATATTATTATATACATATATTTTGTTTCCCATAATAGCAAACATAATCTTATACTTGTTTCTGTTTTCCAGATTTGTGGCTGAGGTTACAGGTCATCAAATGAGTAGTCAGCTCCTAAGTATGAAGTCAGCAAATGCATTGTTGGAATTATCACCATCAGGAAAAGTAATACCTTCCGGAAGTTTGGTATCTGCAACATTAATTTCTGATATAAGTGGGTTTACTTTGGGGCCTAAGGATTTATTATCATCAGATTTAGATACTCTAATTACACAAGGACAAAGTACCACATCAATGAAAGTAAGTGGTGATTATAAAGTTGCTATCCTCACTGTGAGTGATACTGTTGCCTCAGGAGCTGGACCTGATAGAAGGTACTTTTCATTATATATATATATATATATATATATTATATATATATATATATATATATATATTTGTTATTAAGACATTGTAATTATTGCAGTGAAAATTGATTGTTGAAAGTAGAATGTTGCTATTTAACTGTTTTTATGAATGTCACATGATAATGTGGAAGTGAATTTGTTGTGCAGTGGTCCAAGGGCAGTTTCTGTTGTGAGGTCTTGTTCTGAAAAATTAGGAGGGGCAACTGTAGCTGCAACAGCTGTGGTTCCAGATGAAATAGAAAACATCAGGGAGATATTGCAGAGATGGAGTGATGTAGACAAAATGGATTTGATTTTAACCCTTGGTGAGACCGATTTTTTTTTTTTTTTTAATAATAAATAATAAATATGATCTGATATGAAAAATGATATAGGTGGGACAGGGTTCACCCCTAGGGATGTGACACCAGAAGCAACAAAAGGTGTAATAGAAAAGGAAACCCCTGGACTTCTATATGTGATGATGCAAGAGAGCCTTAAGGTATTTTGATGAATCAATCATGTTGTGAGGGTATATGTGTAATTTCACTAACTGGAAATGCAAATCCATTGGGATTAATTAGGTTACACAATTTGCAATGCTGTCACGGGCTGCAGCCGGGATACGTGGATCAACACTCGTAAGTGCTTCTTGTTTAAATAAACCATTTTATCGATTTTGCAATTTAACCTTTTTTTTTGTTTAATTAATGATTAAAACATATTCTTATTTGGTGAATGGTTAGATTATCAATATGCCTGGGAATCCGAATGCAGTGGGAGAGTGTATGGATGCTTTGATTCCAGCATTAAAGCATGCATTGAAGCAGATAAAGGGGGACAAAAGAGAGAAGCATCCACGTCATGTTCCTCATGCACATGCAGATTCAAAGGACGTATGGGAAAGTAGTTATCAGGCGGCTAATAATCATATTGATACCAAGCAAGACCCGCCTTCTTCTTTGCACAGTTGTGGGTGCGAGTAATAAGTGTGTTGTGTGTAAATCATGTCACCTCTTATCACAGAAATAAATTAAAAACTTATGCTAAATGTATTATTCAGAAATGAAGTTGATTTGAGCACAAATGAACCGTTTTGCTTCCAAATTGAGATTTTAACCACTTTTTATATGTATTTTTGTTGCAAAATAAGTTTGTGCATTCGTTTTCTAGCGATAAACTGATAAGCTTATGATAGCTTATACATTACAGAATCAATGAAACAGTAACAATCAAGATAAAATGCAGCTCATATAATTATTAATATTTCCAAATCTTTCTAGAGGAAAGGGACTCTCCAAGAAACAAGTTTCTATTTAATTCTTCGCTGCTAAAAAACAAAATACCTCTAGGGGGGATTATATAAAAGACATGACACAGGAAAAGCAGCTAAAAAAGGAATGGTCCCACAATACAGACACGTTTCAACATAAACAAAAACGGATGGAACCCAAAAAAAGACCAAACTACCTCTAATTTGTTGGGTTAGTCTTTGGGCTTTTGCCTTCTTCTTTGGTAAACCAAAAGGGACTGAGGCTTATCATAAACATATTAGATGTTTTTGTTGGGTTAATCGGTTGGTTCAACGGGTCACAGTTCAGATCCAAGTAACGATCCAGAAGTGTTGAATCGAGTCAAGTTGAAATAACGGGATAAAACCCATGTTTTAGAAGCTGCACATAAGAAATGGTCAAGTTTGACCGGGTTTATGGAAGATTATGAGATTAGCATTTGCATGTTTATTTTAATTATAAATAGATGTATTATCTCTTTTGTTTTGTACCTTGATCTTTTCTTCATTAGAATATTGAAGCTTTTCCTTTCCTTGCAAAGTTAGTTTCCCATACATAATACGTGAGTAGTGTGTGTTGTGTGTGTTTCTAATAGACCTGATCCAACAACAATAGTATTCAGGTTTGAATTTGGACATCAAATTCGGACTTACTCACATCAGGCAGTGTGACACTGCACATACGACTTTTAAGGTTTTTTTTTTCATAGATTTGTTAATTTTTTTGGGTGTTTAACTATTAATGATTTAGGGGGTGTTTCGAATTACTTTTTTGAAATTCTTATGGACTTATTTTGGTTTCACACCGGTAATACAAGTTTTTAGTGTTTAGATAAAAAGATTTCATAAGCATTTATTGATTTAAATAATAATTTTTTGATAAGTTACTTCCTACTTATTAAATTATAGCATTAATTTTTGATAAATTGTTTTATTATTATACATAAAATAAGAGTTTTCAAACACTTAAAATAACTTATCAACTTATTTCTTTTTGATACCAGATAAGCTAATCCAAACAATTTTTTTAACTTCGTTTTGACACCGAATAAGTAATAAACACTTTTACAAATAAACATAAGTTGTTTTAAATAAACAATCCTAAACACCTTCTTAGTTTTGGTGTTATTTCTGTTCAATCACTTAGGGTTAGTTTCAACTACTATGTGTGTATTTATATTAATTTGTTGGTGTTATTTTTCGCTTTTTTAAAATCCGTCTATGTTGTGATTTATATGTTCTATGTTGGTTGTGAGTACGGCTGATGGTGGACATGGAGGAGGTGTATACCATAACTTTTGTTGCAAAATAACCATCCGATAATATAGAGTTTAGTGTTATTCTTGTAATCTTGTTAATTTCCCATAGTGGCCTCTCTACTTGATTAGCATATAAATATGATTTATAAATAGATGTATTCACATCGGGTAGTGCGACACTGCACATACGACTTTTGACGGTTTTTTTTTCATAGTTTTTTTAATTTCTTGGGTGTTTATTTATTTGTTTAACTTTTAATGATTTAGGGGGCGTTTGGAATTCTTTATTCGAAATGCTTATCGATTTATTTTGGTTTAACAATGGTAATAAACGTTTTTAGTGTTTAGATAAAAAGATTTCATAAGCACTTATTGATTTAAGTAATAAGTTTTTGATAAGTTACTTCCTACTTATTGACTTATAGGAGTAGTTTTTGATAAATTGTTTTATTATTACAAACAAAATAAGAATTTTCCAAACACAAAAAATAACTTATCAACTTATTTTGTTTTGATACTGGATAAGCTAATCAAACAATTTATTTTAAAACTATGTTTTTACATTTTTACACCAAGTAAGCTAATAAACACTTTCACAAATAAGCATAAGTTGTTTTAAATAAACAATCCTAAACAACCTCTTAGTGTTGGTGTTATTTATGTTCAATAACTTAGGGTTAGTTTCAACTACTATGTGTGTATCTATATTAATTTTTTGGTGCTATTTTTGGCTTTTTACAAGTTCGTATATGTTGTGATTTATATGTTGTATGTTGGTTGTGAGAACGGCTTGTGGTGGACACACAGGAGGTGTATACCATAACTTTTGTTGCAAAATAACCATCCAATAATATAGAGTTTGGTGATCCTCTTGTAATATTTGTTAATTTCATGTAGTGGTTTCTCTACTTGATTAGCATATAAATATGATTTACAAATAGATATATTCGCATCGGGTAGTGTGGCGTTGCACATACAACTTTTAAGGGTTTTTTTTTCACAAAATTTTTAAGTTTTTTGGGTATTTATTTATTTGTTTAACTTTTAATGATTTAGGGGGTGTTTGGAATTGCTTATTTTAAATTCTTATAGACTTATTTTGGTTTGACACCGGTAATAAACGTTTTTAGTGTTTGGATAAAAAGATTTCAAAAGCACTTATTGACTTAAATAATAAGTTTTTGATAAGTTACTTCCTACTTATTGACTTATAGCAATAGTTTTAGATAAATTGTTTTATCATTATTACACATAAAAGAAGAGTTTCCAAACACTAAAAACAAGTTATAAACTTATTTCGTTTTGATACCGGATAAACTAATCCAAACAAATTTTTTTAAACTCCGTTTTGACACTGAATAAGCTAATAAACACTTCTACAAATAAGCATAAGTTGCTTGAAATAAGCAATCCTAAACACCCTCTTAGAGTTGGTGTTATTTATGTTTAATCACTTAGGGTTAGTTTCAACTATTATGTGTGTATTTATATTTATTTGTTGGTGTTATTTCTAGCTTTTTTCAAATTCGTCGATATTGTGATTTATATGTTCTATGTTGGTTGTAGGAATAGCTGGTGGTGGACACGGAGGAGGTGTATACCATAACTTTTGTTGTGAAATAACCATTCAATATTATAGAGTTTAGTGTTAATCTTGTAATCTTGTTAATTTCCTATAGTGGTTTCTCTACTTGATTAGCATATAAATAGGATTTACAAATAAACATTAGACTAATGGATACAGTGAGGAAGACATTAATGAGTTTGGGAAGCTAAAAACTATATTTTTATAAAACAATTTATAAATGGCAAACATGAAACTTTAAAAATAACTAGTTTATTTTCAGACCATTGTTAAAGGATGTCATTAATGTCCAAATAAATAAAAATCACTGCTAGGTTGCACTAATAGCAGGGTCGAATCTATATGCACACAACCTAAAATCAATGTATTTTGGCGTAAGGCACAAACTAGTCATATAACAAAAAATATAAAAAGGGGGATTTTGTTTAGAATATTAATAACTAAAAATTGAATTTGAAATAAAATAAATAAATTCAGTAACAAAATGCGTATTAGTTCTGCTACGACCTTCCTAATTATGCAATCAATCTAGATCTGATTATTTGAGATGTGTACCATGTAAGCCGGTACTGAAAACTACTAACAAGAGTAAGTTCTCTTGTACCAAATTAATTAACTAAAACAAACCCTTCAATTAACCCTAACTTTTTACTAACCTAATTAAACATGCTCTTAATCAAGTCAGAAAAGTAACATTATGATCTGATTACAACTCCTAGCTATATTCAATACTTCTCACAAGCTTGGAAGCGTGAAAATATGTGATTTTCAGTTATTAACAGAGTCGAATCCCAACACAGAACCAATCTGTTACTCGTTACTTATTACCAACTTATTAAAAAAATTATGGATCTTAACAACTGATTAACTAGAATGATTTAATCGTAATCAGGTGACCAGTCTGAAAAGAACTAAAAATCAAACATTCATTAAGCATAAAACTGAAACCACTAGATAGAATCACAAAGTAAAAACGAAATCTAATGATTAATCACATAAAAAACACTCATCTTTTACAGAACCAAAAACTAGAGTTTTTAGCCAGACATAACTAAAAACGATCTAAAGCTAATAAAAAGAAATTAGTTCAAACACTAATTTTGCGTTAATGAAATACATTGCTATTTCAGTCTCATTTATCAAAAACATGATCATGTTTTTTGAAAAACACGATCGTATAAGTCTTTCAAAGTCTCAAAAGTTGATTTTCGTCTCGGAAAAGTTGTGAACATGTAACACAATTAAAAACACAACCGTGGAATGAAAAACACGATTGTGTAATCCTTCAATTCGCGTTTTACTCTTCGGTTCCAACAAATCTAACGTAGGCTCCAACTTACTTAGGTGTTTTAGCTTAATTAAGCTCCAAAAATGCATCCAAGCCTACGTAAAAGTTTCGAGAAATTAGTTCAAAAATTGTGTCATTTTTTTCTTACGCAATATTTCGATATATTCTTTAATTTATTTTTACAATTGGCCTAGCAGCCTACGATGTCTCTCAATCCCTTAGTTATGGAAACTGTTACTATACTTACCACTACAAAGCTTGTCATTTTCGGACTTTCATTTTACACCTTCACATAGAGCTATCGAATGAAACGAATTTCATCATATCATGTAACTTTTTTCTATGTTTTTGAATTTTTTTTTGAAGAAAATAAAACTAAAACCTAAAAGTGAAACATTTTTGGGTTTTTTTATTTCTTCTTTTTAATGCAGAAAAGAAACAGAAAAGTTGATTTTTAAATTTTTTTTAAACATAAATGCAAAATTTTGATTAACCTTCTCCCCAAACTTAAAATTAAGCATTATCCTCAATGCTCAGAGAGGAATGAACAACTCAGTATGACATATATAAGTTTGCAACTAGGAAAGACTGTACTTGGTATATTGCAAACAAATTTGATTATTTGACGAAGCTTTCGGAAAAAAAATATGCATTTCAACAAT